TAAAATACCAATGAGTAGAAAATTGAATTCCTGACACTTTGAAATCAGATGTAAGTTAAGTTGCTTCTTCAAAGAATAAACAACCAAATTTTATTAACAAAGGGAAAAAAAGCAGAATATTTTTAGTACGATCAAAGTTAGAATAGGCTTGATTATGCTGATGTCATGTCATTTTGGACAGTGATTGTGTAAGGACTACTTGTGTGTTCATGTGTATGGTTAGTGGGTGTGAGAAATGCAATACTTCAAATGTGGAACGTAGAGTTAAAAATATTTAACTTCAATAGTTGAAATCATGAATCAGTTGAAGCTAGACCACCATGGAAAACCTGGAAGCACTTGACGGCCGTTTCGTCCTAATTATAGGACTCCTCAGTGGCAGCGCGCATCCACGATCCCGCCCCACGAAGTTCGAACCCAAGACCTATCAGTCTTGCGTGCTAGCGCCTAACCTATAGACCAATGATCCGGCATCCAACGGTGTTAATGTCTTACTTCAACCGATCCATGAAATCGAGCTGGATCGTGGATGTGCGCTGCTGAGGAGTTCCAAAATAGGACGAAACGGCCGTCCAGTGCTTCCAGGTTTTCCATGGTGGTCTAGCTTCAATTGACTCATGATCTCAACTATTGAAGTTAAATATTTTATCCACAAAACCCCCTCTGATATTAAAAATATTTCTATTTTTGTTAGTTGTATGAGAAGCTGTATTAGAGACAACTAAAGCATTTTATCAGCGTCTCCTTGTGGCTTATTTCATTTGCCTAATCTAAACATTCTACTCTTTCCGATTCTAAAAAGTGTAGCCCAAACTTTTATGCAAGATGAAATACTTGTAACTATATTACTCATGTGTATTCTTTATAGACAAGTCATCGAACTACTGCATTACACAATCCTTTTTCTGGTCAGCGTTTTTTTAGCGAGTTAGTTGTGATGGGGTCGCTAACTCCATGCTCAACCGTCCTCCTTTATCCGAGCTTGGGAACGGCAGTCGCCCCCGAAGGAGGAGCTACAGGCGGAGTTATTACATACTCCTTGAGGGTTACAATTTCCATTAATAAATATTAACCATACAATAAAGACATTTTTATCTTTCGTCTAATGTAATTTCATGAATTCTTATATATTTACAGCGAATTAATCAAGATTTTGTTCAATGGCGCAGAGATAAATCAACATATATAGAAGCTGATGAATTTGCAATTATGCTTTGTTTACTCAGGTATGGTATATTGAAAAATTATCCTATTTATCATGTTTTGTTTTGCTTGTAAACGATGGGTTCATATTGTTAGCCATCCAAAGTTGACATTTAATTTTCTCTATTACGATGTATAGTAATGTAATCCTACTCACCCCCAACAGACTCATTGTCATCGGCATTGTCAACTTTAAGTTGATGTTTATCTAGGCTGTCCACATTTATTAAACTTTGTTTCAGGTATCCTATTACACATGGTCCACCAGGGTGTTTTGTACCTCAGTAGTTGCGTCACAGGATTGGGCTGAGCTGTTCGGATTATAGCGTTGAGGCCTATATAGTGTGGGGTTCTCCTATAGGACGGGATTGAGCTGTACTGTTTGGTTTAAGCCTGGGCAATGTCTGGCTCTCCTGTTTAACCGGATTGAGCTATATTGTTTGGGTTGCCGCGTGAAAGTCTGGTTCTCCTGAAAATCAGTGCAAAATTACCCTGACCCATAAGGGTATATTATATAACTGTGAATTACACATAACACTCTTACTATCCACTTATTGAATTAGAATACACAGACAATATAGTTTTGTTTGATGATGACACTGAAAAATCTTCTGACTGCCCTACGCAACGATCTAAGCATGTTTGGCTATCTCCAACAAATGTAATCTTTATTTTATTTATTTAAACACATTAATATTGGTACAAGGAAGCACCAGATACATACGCGCCGTACAAATCTCATTCGATTTGTGTGAGGGATGTGATACTGCCCAGGTGCCCAAACCGAAGTAGGTGGTTTTCTTAAGGGGCCACACCTGGAGCCTTTGACCTAAAGATCTGATCCACAAGGCAGTGGATCATCGTGACGAGATGCAGTCCTATGGTAATCGGTGATCAACGATTGATTTATACGCCGTTTGTTCACTCAGTATACTGGAGACCATGTACACCATTGGTTTGGAATCAGAGTTTTCCAACTCCCCTAGGTGGATCTGCCGTGTCCACCAACCGGTTAAAGCGCCGGACATTCGCTTTTCGTCCTCTGAATTTCGTAAACAACATCCCCGCCACGAGAAGGCAGTGAGTAGGACTTGTGTGGCAGAGGCTATATATTCGGTGGCCATGTGAGAGCATTTGGAGAGGGAGAGGTGACTCTCTCTACTCTCGGCCGTACCAGGGCATTTAAGGGAAATATCCTCCACAATTAAAGTGGCTCTTTCTCTATAACTATGCTATACTGAAAGCTTACAACCTTACCCGATATGGTGCGGTCATACAAACGTTTTACTGATGGACATTAATCCCTAAATTTAATATATGCAAATGATTTTTTGAAATTATTTAGATTTTATTGTTTAACTTGTGGATTACAATCACCCACTCTTGAACATTGGTTACATATTGTTGAATTGGAATCAAAACGAAAGTCACGAATCGCATTATCCAAGTCGCAAACCCAATAGTACTTAACGAGAATACGAAAATGTAAAAAGCATTTAGATTTAATTATTGTTTGTGTTATTTTTTGATTAATAAAATTTCTCTGTTGCTGTTTATTTATTTAAACACGTAGACATTGGTACAAGTAGGCACCAAATATATATGTATCACACATCGTTATGCAAAGTCTGAGGGTTAGAATGCTTCCTGGGTGCCCAAAGAGAAGCAGGTGATTTTCTTAGGCGGCCACCTCTCGAGCCTTTGATCTAAAAGTCTGATCCACAATGCAGTGGGGCGACCTAAGGTGATGCAGTTCTGTGGTAGCCGGTGACTAACAATGGGTCAATACGCCATTTTTCCCTCTGGAGCCTATGTGCACCATTAGTTTGGAATAAGGGTTTCCCAACTCCCCTAAGTGGATGCGCCAATCCGGTTGAAGCGCCGGACATTCTTTTTTCGTGAACAATAGTAATACAGCAAGAAGTTAGTAGGACTTTCGTGGCATTGGTCGTATACTCGTGTCTATGTAAGAGCATATGGATAGGGAAAGCGGACTCCCCTTGCCCCCGGCCGTACTAGGGCATTTGAAGACTGAGTCACGCTTTTCAAACCAACTGTAGTTTAACTGCCAAACAACGAAAACTCGAGTCTCTTAGGTTAACTACAAACAACGCGATCGTCAGGATTCGGGTCAACACGAAAGATCAGGCAATGTGGTATTGGTTTTCCTCTACAGTTATCTATGTGCGTAAGTTTTGGTTCTTTTATGATAGAATTCAGATTTTCTCTTTGAGTAAGCATATTTTTAAGCCATATTGAATGGCTGTAGGTGAGGTAAATCGGTAGAAACTTACTATTGGGACGAGACGTGGAAATAATTTTAATGGACCGAAGTAACTATTTCGATTTAAAATTACCACCATGGGAATTACGAATTACGCAACAGTAGTAGTGATCTCTGACCTAAGATAATGACAATAGTAGTTTGATGTGTCCTCTTAAATTCTATGTTATATTGTAAATTCTCCAAATAGGTAACTGTCGGAACATATATCACCTTTCGTTAAGTTGATATTTTAGATCAGCCGGTCGCTTTTCCAATTCCACAGCAAGAGATGCTCATGCAAATAGATGGGTTATGATGACCAACCTCTAAATGTGAACATCAATATTCTGATTTTGGCAGTAGTCTTCCATGCTGCAATATTGATCTTGATTGTAACTGAGTTGACCACAACTTAAGTATGAACAAGATAAGAATGCTTTAAATAATTAACCATCCATGTATTCGAACCATTATTTGGATCTATGTACAAAAACAGCTTTCATGTCAAGGGGCGCATAAATCAAACTATGCGGGGTAGTATGATTGGTGTATCGGTTAAATTCTCTCAGATTCATATTAAATCAACATGGCATTACATAGAAAGCAAGCCAAGTTCGTTTACACTCCTATTTCATAACGTCTTGAGGCTACATTAAGACAATTAACTAAATCAAGTAGGTAAATTGTACCAATATGAACTAAGTCAGATCCAGTCAATTAAGGTCATTAGGATTTTTAATTTAACAATTTAGTGGTAGTGTGTATAACTGTAGCGCTGAACATTATCTGAGAGGATAAAACTTCCCAATATACTAAAAAAATTTGGGCTTGGTTCATGGAACTCCTGGTAGAGTTAATTCGCACAATTCGGTCGATCTTTTATTAGTAATCAACCTAGTGTCTGGCACAAGTGTGTGTTGGCCAAAGTTGCCATTCCGCATAACCACAAGATCATTAGCAATGGGAATACTGTAGTAGCAATGATGGTAAGAAAAACTAAGGTTTGGAAGCTCGGTTCGTTTAGACAGAACTGAAAGGTATGTATTGCAAAATACTGGTAGTGTAAATCTAGAAACAGGTAGAATAAATGTATCTGCGTTACCGTGATTGATTCTGAGCCAAATCACTCAACGTTGCTGAGCATTTGACATGATAACTGCACAGACCTCGATTGAACAATCTGCATTTACCAACTTGTCTTAGACCAACAACTAGGCCGATACTATGTTTTGATTTGGCACGGTCTGCTTTTCTTTAAAGCTTATTCCTACACTAGCTAACATTGCCCACTGAAGTAAACAATCCTCGAACGAAACACAAACAATTATCCGGAAACACTATGGACAAATCTGCAGCCTACATATGCAGGAACGAAGTGTAACGGAAACTTCTAATTAAAGTTTTCTATTCAGTGAAAATCTGTATCTGAAGACATTGTTATAATGTTGCTAAGACAATAAGTATAGCCAGGACGAGAATGCTCATTAGCTATCTTGAATTCATCAACACTTGTTACCGTTGCTCGGGGTATGAAACTTTATATTTATACAAATCACGTTTGTGTAGAACTTAATAGTAAACATTCTATGATTACAGTTAGTATTTCTATATGAATTGCTAAGACGATATATGAAAACACGTAATAAAATAGCTCTTAAAAAATATAAACAATAATTATATTTTAGACATCTTATTGGAACAAAGATAAAAGTTGGATTTCATATTCTGGTGCCACATCAATTGAAGTTATTGGTTGCATTGCTTTCTCATATGCAATTAACAGTTCTCGTCTACGTTTCTATAGAGAAAGAGAGGAATACATAAAAGAACGTGGAAGTACAAATAATATAGAATTAACGGAATAGCTATTTGTGGTTCTCATTGCTTCACTTTGGGGAACCGGGAAATGCTATCATTATGTATATATAGTATCATGTGCCTTCCGAATGCATGTGGAATTGGTCAGAAATCGAGTTTAGACCAGTAAGCTACTAATATACAGATCTATTCATCAACAATGTAGGTTAATACATACCCTGCAGTTCATATTTCATAAAGGATACTCGTATATTATTAGTATTTGATTATAGGTAACGTCAAAGTATTACTAGCAATCCTCATGTTAAACACATAGAAAGTCACATGATGAATTCATTGACTGTTGGATTAGTCCATATTAGTAGACGCAGATTCATTGACTGGGTTTAGCGCGATTATTGTAATTACTGATTGAAGACATTAGGTAATATGACAAAACGAATCATGACAGTATAAACACACTCACTCCTTTCCTCTTAGATGCGGAGTTTTTAAATGATTATAAACATTTAGTCCCAATAAGTCATTCATTCTTCTCGAATTATATTGTTTCTGTCCACTATTTTCTATTACCAAAGGCAATGTTACTACTTTCACTATTCTGATTAACCGTCTTGATTATTTTATCCCTGTGTTGACATTGTGTGCAACTTGATTTGATACATATATGCACTAAGTTCTTTATTATTTATGACGGATTGATTCATAATTACATGTATTTTTCAAGAAATACATATTCTCAGAAGCTGTTTTGTGGAGATTTTAGTAATTTTATAGAGTTGAGATCATGAATCAATTGAAGCCAGACCATCATGGAAAACCTGGAAGAACTGGACGGTCGTTTAGTACTCTGGCGCGAGACTGGTAGGTCCTCGGTTCGAATTTCGCGGGTGCGGGATCGTGGATGTGCACTGCTGGAAAGTCCCTTAATAGGACGAAACGGCCGTCCAGTGCTTCCAGATTTTCCATAGTGGTCTAGCTTCAATTGACTCATGATTTTAACTATGAAAATACTAAATTCTTCACAAAACCCTTTCTGAATTAACATCACAAATTGTCAAGAAATCTTTCAAAAAGTATGATTATCATAAGCATACCTTGTCAGCTGATGCTAATTCATTATTAACTTCTTTATTCATAGTCTCTGATATTATAATTTGAAAACTGGTAGTAACACCACTGTTTTCATCTCCTGGAGGATTAGGCGTTGATTTACATGCATGTTGATGAAATTCCGATTTGATTGTCTCAGCACTTGGTAACTTTCCATCATTAATTGGTCCAGTAATACACTTTTTATCATTTTCACTATGCACATTTAACACCTACATTTTTAAGAAGTGAATCATAAGGAAAATATTATATTTTGCTGTGACAATTTTACAATACCAATCATGGCTCTGCATGATGCAACAAGTGTTAACGGAAAAACTGTTAATATAAATCTGTTATGAGCTGTATTGTGTTGTGTAATACGGTAGAACAAGACAATGGGCAAAAGTAATCAATGTTTAGTGTAAGGGATTACAAAGTACTTGTATAATTCGTATAAATAGCCTAAAACCATCCACTTGTATCTTGCGATGTATTCTACAATGCAAATTGTTTTCGCTTCTGGTCTTTGAGTGTTTTGTCTACGTCGTGCTTTGTATATGCGGAAATCCCTTCCTTCGTCTGACTGGCAGCTTTGAGGTCACGTTCTGCTACATACTAGTTGTGAGTAGCGCTCATCAAAATACCACGAGTGCGATAGGTTTTAGAAAGGTAGACTAGTGATTAAACATCAATTTTTTTATGACTATTCAGCTTCATACCACGTGCATAAAATGAAACCGATGAATTTTATTATTCAAAAAATAACTACAACACTTGTTTCATAGTATTTTGAATGCCAAATCGAAATTATTGATTAATGAAAAGATATGACTAAATATAACTTCTCGCACCTGATTCCCGCTATATGTTTTAACATTTATTTGTATGAAATTATTTGAACAGTATCAGTATGTTGATGATGATGCTTAAGTAGGAGTTGGCTTAATTCAGACCAAAAAGTCAAACCAAAACGGTGCTAGCAATCCAGTGTTATTGTTATCACCACGGTTCTCAACATCATCGTTTATAGTCAAGTAGCACAGACTAGGATCGTAAGTTGCTTTATAGCTGAACATTTAGCCAATATTGGACAAAGAGTTTATGTAGAAACAGTTAAGAGTAATATTTCAACCAAATTAAATAAGTTCAGTCTTGTATTGGTTGCTTGAATCTACCCATTGATGTTAAGGGCTGCTAGCCACCACCATCTCATATTAAATAAGTTTAAAATACGTGTTTAGAAGTTCGTGAAGCTCATTCCTTTACTCCAATAATTTCATAACTAAATGGTCAAAATTGCATTTAATAAAGGTTAACTTATTCGTATGATTTCGTTCATTTTTACATAATCAGTATTACTTACTGACCGATTTTGTATTCCAAGAGTGAGTCAGTTATTCAATTATATGCAACGCAGAACTTGAAACATTTGTACCAGTCCGCGTTGTCACACCACATTAGTATATGGCCAAAATTATCAAGACAAATGCCAGAGCAGTTTAAGTAGTAACAGTATCAATGGAAGTAGAAAAGATTAGATGCAGAAAAAAAGATTTCGAGATGGGTTTTTAGGTAAGACAAAGAGTGAATGCATCTGCATCATTGTGAAAGATTTTTAGCCATGTCATCCAAAGGCTTATTCCATTGGTTGTAAAACTCCCACGAACTCTAAACAAGTAGTTTCTACCTGTTTACATGGTTTAACCCGTTTTCCAACGTCTTCATAGACAAGTATCATTTCTTCTTTTGTAGATTTTCTAGTGATGTATAGAAAACCAGACTAGGCTTCTGTTATGGATGATTTTGATTAGTGAATTTCGAACTGTTAAAACCAATGGTTAGAACGTTAAGTAGCAGGTGAAAGCAGTGATATGGATGTGACCAAGTGATGGCTACTCACGGGACCGTAAAGTTGACTTGAACTCCCGACTGATTATAAATCAAGACTACTACCCAGATGAATATATTTTTCGTGTAATAAAAAACCATGCTTATGCAGAGAATATGAGCACATACAAAAGTGATCGAATACCATAAGCGGTTGGAAGAAATCAGTTTATAGATCACTCACTGTCAGACCAATTTCGACCTGACTGCTAGGCTTATCTTTGAGGACTGTATCAGCTTCATAAGGACTTATATAAAAATCTCATTTAAGGTTTTTAAAGTTCTGAAAAGCGCAAAAATACCAGAAAGAAAACGCATTTAAATGAAATCAAAATTGGTTTGCGATATATAAGTACCGTATAATCTACAGAAGAATAAAGAATGGATGAGTCAATATTATTGTCATCAAAATCCTCCACAATACTAATCAACAAATCCAACCATTAGTATCAGATTTCCTAGGAATATAATACAACCGAGTCTCAGATACCCTTCGTTTTTGTTTGGCTGTGTAATTACCAAATAAACCACTAAGCTTTACGCAGCAAACTATTACACTGAACGACGTAACTAACCTCAATTGAAGAAAGTTGTAAGGATTCCTGAGAAGGTAAGCAATTAGAATCCGATAAAATTCGAGAAAACAAGTTCACACGAGATTTACTGTGTTGTATTGGCTGACAGGATGTTGGTAATTTTAGTCGTTTATCAGCTCGGGAAATCTTCGACTGTATACGAGGAGTAATACGAAATAACCCGGCTAAAAAATTGGGACCGTTTAAAACCATTTCACGATTTAAAGATTTTTCGATATTAGTAACAAAGTCCATGACCTTTAGGGAATGGCAACAGTTTTCCTTATCTGCACAATTCTTTAGATGTACTCGACTATTCATTATCGTGCACTACTAAAAAGAAAAATAAAGTTCCTGAGTATGTAACTACAAAGAATTAGTTGGTTCCTCCATAAATTATAGTCTCACCTGGAATGTTTGATAGAATTTCATACCGTTTCCTAATGTTTATTTAAAGCGGTCCACTGAAAAGATCGTAACTTTGGCGAATGTGTTGTTAGCAAGTTGATGTGTGACGAGAAAAATGGGATACTATCAGGGTGCTTGGTCGTTGACAAGAAATTTTCCCAAGATATCCTTGTGGGTTACCAAACGGGCATAATATTTTAGTTACTTTTGTGAAATGCATTGGTTAAAAGTGATGCTATCAACTCCCTTTTTTCCCTTTATTTAAACGGAAAGTACTAACTCTGAAAATCATGCATTTTGCACCCTAAACATTCAACTCTTTTTATAAGGTCCGTAAAATATTTCTACCCTTTCAAAAAATTGCTACCACCCCTTCCCTACCTCCACTCCTTGACTCTGGAATTAATACCTATTTACCTACTTTTATTAAAGAAAACAATGAATAACAATCATTGATGACAAAAGTCTCATATCACGACAAACTCCGAATCGAAACTAAAAAAACTTGCCAAACCATTGAAACAGTGTCCAGAAACTCCTAAATAAATACTGAGACATACAAACAAAATCCCAGATATGTACAAGTGTGAAATATTCGGAAATATGCTCAAAAAAATTTGAGGATAGAAATAAGAGCTTCATATAAAAAGATTATGTTAAGGTTTCCAAACTTTTATATATGCAACAACAAACCTACTCAGGCTTCCAACCATTGTATTGATAAAACAACTACTCAACCAAATTATGCCCAAAAACATCCCCGGAGTCACCTTGCTAAAGGTGTATAGACTAGGAAATCTAGCGCATCTGAAACCAAATCAGTCTAGACTACTCAAAGTCGTTTTCAAATCCCCAGACGAACGCGACTTAATCTTAGAAAATGGACACAAATTAAAGGGTTCACTAGTTTTTCTCCGTAAGGACTTACCGTTGGCGGACCGTGTTAAAAGACGGGAAGCCGAAAAGGAACTACAGCTCAGATTAGACGCTGGCGAAAAAGACCTGAAAATTGTAAATTTTCGGGTTGTGAGGCTTCGACAGAGGATGATGCCGAAGCCACTCTGGGTGAAGCACGAGGCCACCTAAATAAGCTTCGGATCCGTTATACCAACGCCCGGAGCTTACTAAATAAGCTACCGGAACTAGGTGTACAGATTGACTCAACTAGGCCAGACATAATCGCAGTCACAGAAACATGGCTGACGCCGTCTATAGATAGTAGGGAACTTGATTTCGAGGGTTTTACATTGGTAAGGGCCGATAGAATACAAACGCGTAAAGGAGGGGGAGTAGCTCTATTCATTAGGAATGCTATTCCATTCACCATTATCGACAGTGTATCCCATGAGAGTGGGACGTATGAATTAGTTTGCTGCCGCCTGAAATGCAGGGGACAAGAGTTGCTACTTAGTTTGATCTATCGCAGTACAAGCTGTGAGGCAAACGAGGTTCTACTAAGCAGTCTCAACACTTTATCACGAAGTGATCGATGTCTAATCCTAGGGGACTTTAATGCACCCATGGTGGACTGGGGAAATCTGCGGACTGAATCGTCAGCAAACTCCTTCGAACAGGAACTAGTTGATGCGGTAATCACATGTGCCCTAGTGCAACACGTGAAGGAAGCAACTAGGTACGACCCGGGTTCTGCATCATCCTTACTAGATCTTATATTGACTCATTATGAGGATGATGTTGCAAACCTGAATTACATGTCACCCCTAGGCAAAAGTGATCATGCAGTTTTAAGCTTCGACTTCCATATAACTGTCGATCACGAGTACGCTTCAGCTCAATCCACACCTAACGTCTGGAAAGCAACATACCAGACATCATGAAATCAGCATCATCAGTAGATTGGACAATAGACCCAGAGTCATCAATCGAAACGGCTTGGGACGTATTCCGAAATTTATACTTAAAAGTTACCACCCCCCACATCCCTTGGACTACACCTAAGAGACCGAGAAACTCCCCACCGTGGTTCAGTAGGGAGGATCTCATCCTTCTCTGTAAAAGAAGGAAAATGTGGGACAGATTTAGGTTACTGGGGACTGACGAGGCAAAATCTCAGTATCAAAAGGCTCGAAATAACTGTGCCTCGACCCTCCGTAAGGCCAGAAAGCTGTACGAAGAGAAAATCGTTAGGGAATCCATAGAATGCCCTAAACGTTTGTATTCGTATATAAACCAAAGGTCAAAAAGAAGAAGAAATGTTCCTTCACTATGGGGAGACAGTACTGCCACATCACTAGTGGAGGACGACTTTGGCAAAGCTCAAGTATTCTCTAAATACTTTAGCGATGTTTACACCATAGAAACACCCTTCTCACCAGTTCATGAAAATCCCCACACACAAGCACTGGACAGCGTAACCATTAAAGAACTCGATGTCTTTGGTCTGCTAGTTAAGCTTGACATAGGTAAATCCACTGGACCCGATGAACTGCATCCTAGGTTACTAAAGGAATTAGCTAACTTCGTTGCGAACCCTTTAAGTGTATGTTTTGATCTATCCGTAACCCAGGGTCGTCTACCAAAAGACTGGAAGAACGCCATAGTAAGTCCAGTCTTCAAAACAGGTACAAAACATAAGCCTGAGAATTACCGACCAATTAGCCTAACTAGTGTTGTTGTTAAAATCTTAGAAAAGATTATTCGAAGGAACTGTTAAAGTATCTCGATGAAAACCGGATCCTCTCCGAAAAGCAGCATGGTTTTAGAACAGGTTACTCTTGTCTCACAAACTTATTAGTCGCTCGTGAAAGCTGGTGCGCTCTTAAGGACCAAAAATTACCTATAGACGTAGCTTACATCGATTTCAGCAAAGCTTTCGACAAAGTTCCGCATAACCGGTTGTTATATAAGTTAAGGAATGTCGGGATTGGAGGCAATCTATTGATGTGGATAAAAGACTTCCTACTTGGGCGTCAACAAAGAGTAAGGGTGAACTCCAAGTTGTCTAGCTGGGAAACTGTGCTTAGTGGAGTTCCCCAGGGCACAGTTTTGGGGCCAGTGTTATTCCTCCTGTACGTAAATGATCTCCCTCGTCTAATATCGTCGTCGGTCTTACTCTATGCTGATGATGTCAAGATAAAGAGAGCTATACAAAGCAAGGTCGATAGCTTAGAACTTCAAAATGACCTGGAGAGATTATTTGAATGGTCCCAAACCTGACAATTGCCGATAAACACTTCCAAGTGTATTGTGATGCATATTGGCCACCAGGGTACAGATACATACACGATGAATAACACTGAGTTACCTATTGTTCAGGCACACAATGACTTAGGCGTCATCGTCAGTCAAGACTTAAAGACTACTGCACACTGCCGTGCAATAGCCGCCAAAGGTTTTAGGACTTTATGGTCCATACGCAGGGCTTTTAGGCATCTCGACGCCAAAACGTTTCTGACTTTGTATACAGTGTTCGTACGCCCTAAACTTGAGTACTGTATACAAGCAGCTAGCCCTTGCCTAAAAAAAGACAGTGGACTCTTGAAAAAGGTTCAGAGAACAGCAACTAAGCTGATTCCCGGGATAGCGAAGCTCCCGTATGTTACTAGACTGACCAAGCTAAACCTATTCCCGCTGTCATATAGAAGAATCAGAGGCGACTTGATTACAGTTTTCAAATTGCTTAATGACAAATTTGCACCTGATATGCCCTCATTTTTCTTGTCTTCCAAAACAGAAAATCTACGAGGACACTCCAAAAAAGTTCACAAGCCCCGAACGAATTACTTGTCAGCTGACTACCGACTTTCCCATCGAATCATCAACGAGTGGAATTCATCACCTCAGCACGTGGTTGAGGCTCCATCCGTCGACTCCTTCAAAAGAAAGTTGGATCAGCTGAGAGACCATCATTGCCAGGACTAACACAGGCCATCAAGCCTCCTGTCCTTTCCAAACTGAAACTGAAACTGATTTCCTGGGCACGTTAATGCAATGTAGCCGATATGGAATCCATTTAGTAATTTGTACCAATGCTCGAACATTGTTTCAATGCATGCGAATAGGTTTATAGAACTAATTCATCCAAACGGTCATTAGTGTGATATGGAAACTGTATTGATATTGATCTCAAAGAACTTCGAAATCGCATGAATCTGACATTTATTAGTCTTCTCTTGCCTTCGTGAAACATCGAGGTCATCCATCCAAAGATATGAAATGGATCCAGTACATGATATCTATTTGCAAGGCAAACAAATTGTATGAAAAAGTTTTTCAAATATCGTTTTCAATCTCGTTTGGTTTGTTTTTTTGTCAGCCCCGTAATTTTGTGTTGAACTTCATATCCTCGGACCAAGTTCATGTTTCCTTCGAAGATATTTTAGACTAGAGAAGCAACGCATTTTTTTATATTTAGTTAGAAATCAGGTATTTCTGTGTCAATGTATAAATGAGTTCTCCTACAATTAGCTGATTAGTATATGTTTTTGAACTTGTCACTTCAAGTTTCCCTAGAACTGCATGTATTAATTACGAAGCAGTGAAATGAACTTGAGAGCCATCCGATGAAATTTTCTAATACTTTGCTCTGTCGCCACGATATAATACAACCTCGGGGTCGAACAAATTTGCGTTCGTTTAATAGTGGTTTTTATTCTCGTGGAAATATGAAAGATGATTCAAAAAGGAATCGCAAAGCAAACAACAAAATTGAGAAAAAGTTCGTTAAATGCTTATTCTGTGGTAAATTTCATTTTCGTAATTCATGTGCAGTCCATAATGCTAAATGTTTTAAATGTGGCAAGATAGGACACTTTCAGTCAGTACGCCAAACTTCTGTTCACTTTGCTTCAACTATTACTAAGTCTTAAAATTCAGATCCCAGTAATTCCGCCGTTCTTAATGATCATTTCTATTTATCCACCGTTTCAAAGGGTTATGGTCATATTCAAAGGCTATTACATACATCTTTCATTTCATGAATTTATTGTGGACACAGGTATTATAGAGTCCATTATTTCATTCAAGAACTTGAAATCTTTAGATCCTAACGTTGTGGTAAGACCCACTGAAATCTCAATATTGGGCATTACTGAACACAGATTGTCCATTCGAGGATTCTGTGAATTGCCAATAAGAGATGATAATTCTTCATATATACCTTGTGAATTTTCAGTTAGTGAGGCAGGACTGTCAATACTGGGTTTAAAAATCTGAGAAGGCTTAAAGTGGAATTGTCTTAACTGGTTTCTAAAGAAAATTCCGATGCTGTACTTAAAGATTTGATAGCTGCGTGTGTTGAGATAATAAAGTCCTTGGCAAGACTCACATGTTGGTGGCCAGAGATAAATTCAGATGTATGTCGCACAGCAAACGATTGTGAGAAATGTCATAAGCTAAAAAGTCAGCCTTCGAAGTGGACTCCATGGCCAGTATCTTCTGAGGTCTGGCAGAAAACTCACTCAGACTATTGTAGTCCATTTCCTCGCAAATACTATACACCTGTAGTTATTGATTCTTTTTCTAAGTGTTCTAAAGTTTTTTCACAAATTCATCAAATTTCGACTTTCCAATACAAGCATTAGGGAAGGTGTTCAGTCGAGAAGGGGTTTCTACTGTGTTAGTGACTGATAATGGCTCTTATTTCGCTGCGGATGCATCCACTAACCGGTCGAATGTTATAGGGTGCTCCCATGCACCCTTGTTCTGATGGTCAGGCAGAAAATGTTTGTCAGGACATTGAAAACTGCCATTGATTTTATTGCTGCT